TGGAGAGGCCAGATGCGGGAAGGGCATTCCAGGGAAAGGGACCAGCCAGTGCAAAAGCATGGGAACGCCAGCAGCTGGGACTCACTCGATCATTAGGTCCTCGGTGGGAGAGGAAGAGAACAGGACACGGGGGATCAGTTGGAGGCTAAAGATGAAGAGCCCCAGATGGCAGGCTGAGCATTTTAGGCTGTCTCCTGCAGGCTGTACGGAGCTATGGAAGGATTTAGAGGGAAGGAGGGCCACAGTCACATCTCTATCCCTTGGCTATGCAGTGAAAGGCGAAAAGCTGGAGGCAGCCAGGACACCAGAAAGGGGACTGCTCTGTCACCAGCCTCCACCAGGAGGGTGACCTGCGGATCAGAGAACTTCTGAAATCAAGTTGACAGGGGGTTACCAAGGATGAGACGTGGAGGGTGGGGAGTTCAAGACCAGGAGCATCTGGGAGTGCAGTCTACGCAGTCAGGCTGGTATATTTCAGGTAGGGTCTTACTCTGTCGCCCAGGCTGGCGTGCAGTGGCACTGCGATCACAGCTCACTGCTGGCGGGACCTCCCCGGCCTCAAGCAATTATCCCAACTCAGCCTCCTGAGTAGCTGGAACTAGTCCACCCAAGGAGGGGTGGGTCCCCAGCACCTTGGTGGAAGGCGTTAGAAACTGGTGCAGGCACCTCTGGGGCCTGAAAGAGCCTGGAGTCTTTGTGACTCAGTGTGGCCAATTCTTGGCCAGGCACAGCAGTGCACGCCTGTAATCCCAGCACTTTGGGAGACAGAGGCAGGTGAATCACCTGAGGTCAGGAGTTCGAGACCAGCCTGGCCAACATGGCAAAACCCTGTCTCTACTAAAAATACAAAAATTAGCTGGGCATGGTGGTGGGCACCTGTAATCGCAGCTACTCGGGAGGCTGAGGCAGGAGAATCACTTGAACCTGGGAGGTGGAAGTTGCAGTGAGCTGAGATTGCACCACTGCGCTCCAGCCTGCAATGATGGGAGTGAAACTCCATCTCAAAGAAAATCAATCAATCAATCAATCAATCAATCAATCAAAGGTTAGCTGGGCGTGGTGGCATGTGCCTGTAATTCCAGCTACTTCTGAGGCAGAGGCAGGAGAATCGCTTAAACCTGGGAGGTGGAGGTTGCAGTGAGCTGAGATTGCACCACTGCATTCCAGCCTGGGTGACAGAGCAAGACTCCATCTCAAAAAAAAAAAAAAAAGCAAAGTGGCCAACTCTTGGATGCCTCCCAGGACAGGGGGCTCACCCCCTTCTGAGGCTACCCCTTCCGTGGCTCTGCAGATTCAGATAAACCACAGGCTCAAATCTATCCCCCTAGAGAAGGCGTCCCCAAATTTTTTTTTTTTTTTTTTTTTTTTTTTTTTTTTTTTTTTTAGACGGAGTTTCACTCTTTACCCAGGCTGGAGTGCAATGGCGTGATCTCAGCTCACCGCAACCTCCGTCTCCTGGGTTCAGCAATTCTCCTGCCTCAGCCTCCTGAGTAGCTGGGATTACAGGCACGCACCACCATGCCCAGCTAATTTTTTGTATTTTTAGTAGAGACGGTGTTTCACCATGTTGACCAGGATGGTCTCGATCTCTTGACCTCGTGATCCACCCGCCTCGGCCTCCCAAAGTGCTGGGATTACAGGCTTGAGCCACCGCGCCCGGCAATGTCCCCAAACTTTTTACACAGGGGGCCAGTTCACTGTCCCTCAGACCGTTGGAGGGCCACCACATACTGTGCTCCTCTCACTGACCACCAATGAAAGAGGTGCCCCTTCCTGAAGTGCGGCAGGGGGGCCGGATAAATGGCCTCAGGGGGCCGCATGCAGGCCTCGGGCCGTAGTTTGGGGACGCCTGCCCTAGAGTCAAGCACAGCTCAGTGTCTACGTCTCCACTCAGTGCGGGGGAGCTCCCTGCACCCCAGGCCAGCCCTTGGCGATCTGGGAACCCAACACCAGCTCCTGAAGTCCACCCTCCTCTGGACTCACTCCCGTTGGTTCTTATTATTTCTTCTGGGGTGGGGCCTCCCACCAGGAGCCCTGGGGCTGCTTGGGAGGACTGACACTAAATACCATTCATCTGCAGAGAGAGGAAGAGGAGAAAGTCTACGTGGCTGCTGGAGTCTCTTAAACATCCCTCTCATGCCGGGACGTTTCCCTGCAGAGAAGGCCCGCCTCGGCGAGGGACCTGTGGTCAGCAGCAGCTTCTGGTGAGAAACAAGGTAGGCAGCTGGGTCCGCTGCAGGTATTTTGACATAAGGCTTCTAGTTGAGGCAAGCGATGGTGGTTTCTCCTATATGGTGGGCCCGCAGTGACCGTGACAGATAGACAGCTGCAGGGTCCCCAGCCCCTTCCGGGGAGCCACGCCCTAGACTCTTCCACAGCCAGATCCATAAAGCTGTGGGTGCTAAAATCGTAGACACAGGGGCATCCTCTTCAAAGATTTTTTTTTTTTTTTTTTTTTTTGAGATGGAGTCTCACTCTTGTTGCCCAGGCTGGAGTGCAGTGGCGTGATCTCGGCTTACCACAACCTCCACCTCCCGGGTTCAAGCGATTCTCCTGCCTCAGCCTCCTGGATAGGTGGGATTACAGGCACCCGCCACCATGCCCGGCTACTTTTTGTATTTTGGTAGAGGCTGGGTTTCTCCATGTTGGTCAGGCTGGTCTCGAACTTTGGACCTCAGGTGATCTTCCTGCCTCGGCCTCCCAAAGTGCTGGGATTACAGGTGTGAACCACTGTACCCAGCCCCCGCAAAGATCTTCAAATAGTAAATTACAACTCCATGAAAGAAACTTGAGGCCAGTAGACCAGGCACGGTTGCTCACGCCTATAATCCCAACACTTTGGGAGGCCAAGGTGGGTGTATCATCTGAGGTCAGGAGTTTGAGACCAGCCCGAACAATGTGGTGAAACCCCGTTTCTATTCAAAGTACAAATGTTAGTGGTATGCAATGCCGTATACCGGTAATCCTAGCTACTCAGGAGGCTGAGACAGGAGAATTGCTTGAAACTGGGAGGCAGAGGTCGCAGTGAGCTGAGATCGTGCAGTGGCTCACATCTGTAATCCCAGCACTTTGGGAGGCCGAGGTGGGAGGAACGTTTGAGTGCAGGAGTTTGAGACCAGCCTGGGCAACGTAGCCAGACCCCATCTCTATTTTTAAAAAATAACACAAAAAGCAAAGCTGTCCCCTCCCAGCCTCACCTGCCCTCGTATCCCTGGGGTAACCCTGCTGTCAGCGGGCAAGTCTCCTTCTAGAACTTTCCCCTTGTCTCCCAGGCTGGAGTACAGAAGTGTGATCTCGGCTCACTGCAACCTCTACCACCCAGGTTCAATAGTGTGGTTTAGCCAGGCACCGTGGCATGCACCTGTAGTCCCAGCAAAGGGGAGGCTTAGCAGGAGGATCGCTTGAGCCCAGGAGTTTGAGGCCAGCCTGGGCGACACAGAGAGACCCCCATCTCTAATAATAATAATAATACAGATGCCGGCCGGGCGCGGTGGCTCACGCCTGTAATCCCAGCACTTTGGGAGGCCGAGGCGGGTGGATCACGAGGTCGAGAGATCGAGACCATCCTGGTCAACATGGTGAAACCCTGTCTCTACTAAAAATACAAAAAATTAGCTGGGCATGGTGGCGCGTGCCTGTAATCCCAGCTACTCAGGAGGCTGAGGCAAGAGAATTGCCTGAACCCAGGAGGCGGAGGTTGCGGTGAGCCGAGATCGCGCCATTGCACTCCAGCCTGGGTAACAAGAGCAAAACTCCGTCTCAAAAAAAAAAAAAAATAATAATAATAATAATAATACAGTTGCCTCAGTTCCTGAATACAGCTGTTCTGTCATTCCCTTGTATCTGGGCCTCTGCTCCCCACAAAATCATGCAACGCCTCCAAGTCCAGACACTTAGCCTTTTGGGGTAACAGAAGGTTAAATATGGGTGCAGGCCACCTGGGCGCCTTGGTTCATTGCCTTCCTGAGATGAACTTCATCTTTATTTTAGAGAACTCACCCCTTAGAAAGGAGATAAGGTGCCAGGCGCGGTGACTCACGCCTGTCATCCCGGCCTTTGGGAGGCTGAAGTGGGAGGATCGCTTGATCCCAGGAGTCCAAGACCAGCCTGGGCAACAGTGAAACTTCATGTCTACGAAAAGTTGGGGAAAAAAAAAAAATTACCCTGTAGTCCCGGCTACTCCCGAGGCTGAGGCAGGAGGCGGGCTTGAGCCCAGGTGGTCAAGGCTGTAATTAGCTATGATCATGCCACTGCACTCCAGCCTGAGGGACAGGGACAGAGGGAGTCCCTGTCTCAAAAAAATTTTAAAAAAGATAAGGACCTTCATTGGGTGAAAGTGGATTGGGTGGTTTGGTCACCTGAATCACGAAGCCATCGCTAGGGCAGAGCCCTGTCCACCAAGACCATGTGAGCGCAAACTCTTCCGTGAGGCCGAAGCGAGTGGGGCCCCCACCTCCCTGTGGAGGAGGCAATCCCGGCTGGAAAATGGGTAGCTCCTGCCTCTGGACAGAGCCAGGAACCCCCAACTCCCAGAACCCCCTTTTACCCTCCAAGGAGGGCTGGTCTAAGAAGTTTGCATCGGACGACTGCAGCTTCGGAGGATGCTTTCTGTTACTCCAATTTTCCCTTAATGTTGATGATGATGATGATAATGATATCCATAGTGGCTGACATTTGGGGGGGCTCTTTTTTGGTCAACCACAAATAGCTCCCTGAGGCACTGGGTGCTAAAATGGGCGGCACGGAGGGAGTTGAAATTGCAGAGTGCAAAGTGGGTGTCCGGGCTGGGCGCCTTGCTTACCTCCCCAGACGGGCAGCTCACTCTCCTCACTCCCCATCCCCCGCTCCCAAGAACCCCGCTTCCCAGGGTGGGTGGGGGGTGCACACCAGACGGAGCCAGGTTAGCGCCAGGCGTGGAGCCCGTGTGCGCCCCGGGACCCCGCCCGGGGCGCTCGAGAGGCGCCGGGGGCCGCGGGGGCGGGGCGGGGAGGGGCCGGCGGCAGCGGCGGCGGCGCGTGGAGCAGACCGCAGTGCGGCCGGCGCTAGGACCCGCGGGGGCCTCCCAGGCCGCGGCGCCTCCCGCTTACCCCCACTCCCCGACCCTCCTTCGCCCCCAAAATGAGGAAACGGAGCAACTCGCTCCAAGTTGTGCAGCCGGGACCACCTCAGGGTGCGCAGCCGGCTCGCGGAGGCCCTCCTGGGGGCGGGCGCGGGGCGCGGCCCGGGGGCGCCCCCTGAGCAGGTGAGCGGGTCCGCGGGGAGAGGTGGGGACACTCCGAGGCCGGGGGGGGGGAAACCCCGAGGGCTTGGGGCGGGGGTAGGCCCGGGACGTGCGCTGGAAGGGCCGGTGTGCGCGCGAGTGTGCGCGTCCCGGGCGCGCGGGGCGGGTGCGCGGCTGGGGCAGAGGGTAATCCGAGGCGATAGGACCCAGCGTGGCGGTGGCGGGCGGGGGGTTCCCGGGTGCGGGTGTGCGCGGCTGCGAGCCCCAGGCGTGTGTACCCGCGCGTCCACGTGGAGGACTGTGCGCGTGTGTGGCCGAGATGCGTGTGCGCGGCCCTGCGTGGCGCCCTGCGTGCCTGGGTGGCCCGGTGCTGGCGCCCAGGTGTTGCAGTGTGGGGTGGCTGTGTGTGTGCGTGCCGGGGGCTGGGGACAGGTGCGCACGTTCCCGGGTGTGGAGCGACTGGGCGCGCGGACGCGCGGGGACGTGTGCACACACCTGTTTCCAGGTGGACGGGGTCCTCTGCTTATCTCCGCGCACCTGCGTCCGAGCCCCGTGCGTTTCTGTGCGTGTACATGCATCTGTATGCGTGTGAGTACACGTGGGACTGGAGGATTTAAGGGGAGGCGCATTTTGGAGGGGCCGAGACTCACTCCCCAACACCCTCCACTTCCCATCGACCAGCAGTTGGGGAGATGAGGGATGCAGGGAGGGTCCCCCACTCCTGCAGCAAGTAGCGACGTTGTGTGTCTGTCCCGGGTTTGGGGTGGAGGGCGGATCAGAGAGGCTCAGCCGTTGGCCAGAGGAGCCCAGTAGGGCTGCAGGACCCGCCCCTGGCCCCAGCTCCACCCCAGGGTCAGAGATTCTTGGGAATGACCTTGACTCATCCCTGTCACCCACCCTGCCTCTGCCTACTCACCAGAAAAGAGGAAGAACCAGGCTGGATCCAGTGGCACCCAGCTCCCTGCCTCCTGTGCCAACCACCAGCCTGTGGCAGGCCATTCCCAGCGCCCCCAACTGTGGCCACTTGCTCAGTGTGCCTCTCCCCTGCCTCAGTTTCTCTCTGGGGGCGATGGCGGGGCGAGGCTCCCTGGTTTCCTGGCGGGCATTTCATGGCTGTGATTCTAATAAGGAACTTCCTCGGGTAAAGATCACCTCCCAGAAGGGGCTAGGGGAGCCAGCTCCGGGTCACACCTGGGATGCCTCTGTGGGGCTCTCTCTGCCCCTTCCCTACCATCGTCCCCACCTGGCCTGGGGAGGAGGTGGTAGGAACTGGACCCTGGGTCCCAGCCCAGCTCCCTCCCATCTGGACTCTGCCCCTTCCCCAGGTGAGCCCCAGCTTCCTCCGAGCCTGGCACCCCCCACCCGTCTCAGCCAGGATGCCAACGGTGAGTGTGTCCAGCCCGTTCCTCTGCCCCTGGTCCTTCTTCAACTCAGTCCATACCCTTCCTGGGGGGCTGTCCTCTCTGCCTCCTATCCCCCTTGCTGGACTCTGCCTGGTCTTTCTCAGTCACCTTGGCATCCTGACCTTCTGTCCCTTTGTGACCCTTTTTTTTTTTTTTTTTTGAGACAGAGTCCCACTCTGTTGCCCAGGCTGGAGTGCAATGGCGCAATCTCAGCTCACCGCAACCTCCAATTCCTGGGTTTAAGCAATTCTCTTGCCTCAGCCTCCCGAGTAGCTGGGATTACAGGCGACTGCCAGAACGCCCACCTAATTTTTTTGTATTTTTAGTAGAGACAGGGTTTCTCCATGTTGGCCAGGCTGGTAAACTCCTGACCTCCGGTGAGCCACCCATCTCGGCCTCCCAAAGTGCTGGGATTACAGGTGTGAGCCCCCGAGCCCCGCCTCTGTTTGTGACTCTACGATTTCTTTCTGTGAGCCCCGCTCTCCCGTCTCCCTCCTTCCCCGGTGTCTGCCTCTCTGCTGTTTCCCAGTCTCCATGCCTTTCTCCCTCCTGTTCTCTCCCGCCTCCTGTGCCTCTGCTCCCCACATCTCCGTGATGTCCCCCCTCCCCGCCTCCGGGCCCCCTCTGCAGAGGCGCTGGACCCCGGGCACCCAGTGTATCACCAAATGCGAGCACACCCGCCCCAAGCCGGGGGAGCTGGCCTTCCGCAAGGGAGACGTGGTCACCATCCTGGAGGCCTGCGAGGTGAGCGGCGGGTGGTGGGCGTGGGTGCTTGGGGATGGGGACTCCCCCAGGGCCCCCACCCCACACGCCACACCAACCCCGTGCTTCCTCCCTGGCAGAACAAGAGCTGGTACCGCGCCAAGCACCACACCAGCGGGCAAGAGGGGCTGCTGGCGGCCGGGGCGCTGCGGGAGCGGGAGGCCCTCTCCGCGGACCCCAAGCTCAGCCTCATGCCGTGAGTGGGTGGGACGGGGGCCTGGGGTGGGGGGCAGGAGGTGACCCCCTGCCCGGTCCACGGCCCGGCCTGACCCACCCCTTCCGTGGCCACAGGTGGTTCCACGGGAAGATCTCCGGCCAGGAGGCAGTCCAGCAGCTGCAGCCGCCCGAGGACGGGCTGTTCCTGGTGCGAGAGTCCGCGCGCCACCCCGGGGACTACGTCCTGTGCGTGAGCTTCGGCCGCGACGTCATCCACTACCGCGTGCTTCACCGCGACGGGCACCTCACCATCGACGAGGCCGTGTTCTTCTGCAACCTTATGGACATGGTGGAGGTGCTGCCACCCGGAGGCCCCACCCTGTCCCGAGACTCCTGTGTAGAGATGGAGGGGCTGGTCCCCTGACCTCCACAGCCCCATCCCCTCCCCAGCAGCTGGGCAGACACCGTCCCTACCTCCTGTGCTGACCACCCGGGACCCCCTGAGCTCTGTGCTTCTCCAGTATGGAGATGAAGGGGGTATTCCCTGGGCCCCCCAGACCCCCACTCCATCTCAGATGGGCAGACAGGGGGACCCCCCACGCCAGGATCCTCCCTAGTGCAGAAATGAGGGGGCTGATCCCTAAGGACTGCCCGTCCTACAGGGGACCTGAGTCCGCCTGGTTCTACCTCCAGGGACTAGGATGACTTCTTTGGGGACCCCCAGGACTCCCCAAGTTGACACCCATCCAGAGGACCTCCGCTCCTTTTGGCCTGCCTCTTTTCCCATTCCAATGGAAACCAGCCTCTCTTCTCCTCCCTGGTCCCGCCCGCCCCACCCAGAGCCCACCAGGAAAAGGGACGGGACGCCGGGGTTCCCTGCCCTGGGGCAGGGCTCACGGCCACCCCGGTATCCTGCAGCATTACACCAAGGACAAGGGCGCTATCTGCACCAAGCTGGTGAGGCCAAAGCGGAAGCACGGGACCAAGTCGGCCGAGGAGGAGCTGGCCAGGGGTAGGGGACGCCCAGGAGGGCACACCTCCTTCCCTGCCCCCGTTAGCGCAGCCCAGGAGGAAGGACCCTGGGCCCCGGGCCTCCAAGGCCAGATCACCCAAGCCTGTCCGCATGCGCAGCTGTGGGATAGAAGCCCTGGGCTGCCTTGGGGGTCCACAGACGCCCATCAGGCCTTTATTCACTTGGCCCTCACCTTTGCTGCTCCCCTCTGTCACCATCATCCACCATATCATCTGAGCCAGGAACCTGGCCCCAACCTCCACCCACCCCCCCCTCCAGCATACCCTCTGTGGCCGGGTTCCTAACACCTGGTGAATCTGCTGCCCTCGCCTCCCCACAGCCCAGCCTCAGTCCCTCTCATCAGACCACCTCCTTCCCAGGGGGTGAGTCCCCCTTCCAGGCCAGGCCTTGAGTGCAGCCCCAAGGTTATCTTTCTATCGGGAAATCGTGCCTCCGGGGAGAGAGGCCCGCAGCGCTCCTGCCTTCCAGAACCTGCCCGCATGGCGTGAGCCACCCTTCCAGCCTATCTGCAAAGCCCTTCCTCCACGCATCCACCCTCCCATCATTGTCTCCTTCATGCCTCTGAGCCATTGTTTATTCCGTTCCCTTCGCCCGGAATGCTTTTCCAGCCCCCAAGCAGTGAAATCCTCAGTATTTAAGGTCAAAAGCAAATGCCTCCTCCCACCCCATGTCTGTCTCCTTGGAAGTGTGTCTCTCCTGGGGAAATCTGTACCCATCTGGGATGGCACCCAGGTGGAGACTACATCACCCTGACCAACGATCCCTTAAGGGCACCGCATTTGGAGGGGGCGCTTTCTGGAGGGAGAGGGGGAAGCCTGCAGAACCAACCAGAGGACAGTGGAGAGGCCAACACAGGAATGATTGGGAGAAGGGTCAGGGAGGCCAGACCCCTGGAATATTCTGGAACCTTTATGGGTTTTTATTTTATTTATTTATTCTTTTTCCTTCTGTGTGTTTCTGGGTGGTCAGAGGTAAAGGACTGTGTAGGGAAGAGCCCAGAGGGTATTTGGAGGGACAAGAGGTCTCCAGGTAGCCAAAGAGAAAAGGGCCGCTCTTATCTCTGAGACCTGAAGCATTTCCTGGCACTGCCCCCTGGGCCTGATGGGCAGTTCCTGGAGGGCAAGTGCGGAGTCTGAGGGTCTCAGCCAGGCCCCCAGCTTTGAACATTCACCCCACCGTCCCTCCGGCAAGCTCCTTTTTGCTCAGGTCAGCCTGAGATAGTTCTGTTGCTTCCAACGACAATTGGTACCAGGAGTGGGGTGTGCATTGCCAGGCCCAGCAGCCATTCATGTGTGTCCACAGCTGCAGCACTGTGAGAGGCATCACCTAGTCTCACCAAGTAGAACCCCCAGTGGCAGGGTTTGGGGGGGCCCACGACCGCCCTGACTGGGTCTTCACTCCGCAGCAGGCTGGTTGCTGAACCTGCAGCATTTGACACTGGGAGCGCAGATTGGAGAGGGAGAGTTTGGAGGTGAGTGGCCAGACGGGGTTGGGGTGCTGAAGAAAGGTGGAGGGTGCATATTGAGGCTTTGGAGTCACAGAGCTGAATTCAAACCATACTTAACCATCTGCTAGCTGTGCACCTGAGGACACGCAAATCGCCTGAGCCTCAGTTTCCCCCTCTGCAACAGGGGGTAACGGCAGCTGTCATGAGGAGTAAATTAACTCAAGCAGGCGCCCAGTCGATGTTAGTGAGTTCTTCACACTCCCAGGCCCTTGTATAGTGAGTCCCTCTGTTTGGAACACCATTCCCTGAAATTACTATTCTGGAAGGCTCTGGGGTGTCGATCAGGGGTCGGCAGACTCTCTCTGTAAAAGGCCAGGTTGTAAATATTTTCTCCTTTGTGGGTCTCCTGTCACAACTGCTCAAGCCTGCCCTTGTGGAGGGAAGGCCACCACAGACGATATGTAAACGTATGGGCGTGGCCATGCAAACTATGGCCGAGAAGTTTGAATTTCATATAATGCTTACATATCCTGAAACTACTTATCTTTTGATTTGTTTTTCCAATTATTTAAAGATGCAAAAACCAGCCAGGTGCGGTGGCTCATGCCTGGAATCCCAGCACTCTGGGAGGTCGGGGAAGGAGGATCCCTTGAGCTCAGGAGTTCAGGTCCAGCCTGGGCAACGTAGCAAGACCCCCATCTCTACAAAAAAAAAAAAAAAAAAAAAAAAAAAAGCCAGGCATGGTGGAGCATGCCTGTAGTCCTAGCTACTCGGGAGGCTGGCATGGGAGGATCCCTTGAGCTCAGGAATTTGAAGCTGCAGTGAGCTGTGATCATGCCACTGCACGCCACATAGGTGAGAGACTGAGACTCTTGTCTTAATATTTTAAAAATAAAAATGCAAAAAACATTTTTGAGCTCAAGAGCCTTGCAAAAAGAGGTGACACCGTAGATTTGGCCCCTGGCAAGTAGAGGTTCGCAGACCCCTGGCTTAGACAGTTCTCTTTGTTTTTGGGATGGAATTTTGTTCTGGTTGCCCAGGCTGGAGTGCAGTGGTGTGATCTTGGCTCACTGCACCCTCCACCTCCTGGGTTCAAGCGATTCTCCTGCCTCAAGCCACCAGAGTAGCTGGGATTACAGGCATGTGTCACCATGCCAGACTAATTTTGCATTTTTAGTAGAGATGGAGTTTCTCCATGTTGGTCAGGCTGGTCTCGAATTCCTGACCTCAGGTAATCCGCCTGCTTCGGCCTCCTGAAGTGCTGGGATGACAGGTGTGAGCCACCACGCCCGGCCAGATGGTTCTCTTTGATTTGGGGTCTCCAGGAGCTTGTGAGGGCTGGGAGGATTGGGCGCGTGGGGGCTGCATTTCAAGGTCTGGGGACTCGCAGCTGTGTGAATGTTACACAGGCATCGGTGTGAGTGGGTCTGTCTGCCTGTCTCTGTCCCTGTTTCTGTTGGGGGTCCTGATCTTGCCCCGTTCCCCACCCCCACTCCCCCAGCTGTCCTGCAGGGTGAGTATCTGGGGCAAAAGGTGGCCGTGAAGAACATCAAGTGTGACGTGACGGCCCAAGCCTTCCTGGATGAGACAGCCGTCATGACGTGAGTCCCGGGGTGGGGGTTGGGGATCCTGGGATGGGGGCTCCCAGCTCCACCCTCACCCCCACCCCACCGCCCCCAGGAAGATGCAGCACAAGAACCTGGTGCGTCTCCTGGGCGTGATCCTGCACCAGGGGCTGTACATCGTCATGGAGCACGTGAGCAAGGTGGGGCGGGGCCCCGGTGGGGAGGGGGCCACACGCAGCCGGGCAGTCCCGACACCCCCCAGCCGTCTCCCACCCCGCCCAACAGGGCAACCTGGTGAACTTTCTGCGGACCCGGGGCCGAGCCCTCGTGAACACCGCCCAGCTCCTGCAGTTTTCTCTGTGAGTGGGGCTCTCGGGGGGCTGGGGCACTGGGGGTGGTCGGGGATGGACCACAAGATCCATCAAGGGGACACTGAGGCACAGGGAGTTTGTGGCCCGGGCACCCAGAATTTTCTGAGCCCTGAATGCAGGAGTCATGGCACCTGAGCCCCCGCTGCCCCCTGCTACCCCCAGGCACGTGGCCGAGGGCATGGAGTACCTGGAGAGCAAGAAGCTGGTGCACCGTGACCTGGCCGCCCGCAACATCCTGGTCTCCGAGGACCTGGTGGCCAAGGTCAGCGACTTTGGCCTCGCCAAAGCAGAGCGGAAGGGGCTGGACTCGAGCCGGCTGCCTGTCAAGTGGACGGCGCCCGAGGCTCTCAAACACGGGGTGAGCCCCCCTTCACCCACCCCTGGGGCTTTGGGGGTCTGAGGAGACCTGTCCCCCCCAGCTCTGCTGCGTGACCCTGGGTATGTCACTTGGACCCTTGGAACCTCCAGGAGCGATGGCTCCGCTTCCCCAGGAAGCTCTCAGCTCACAGCTGCTCCTTGTAGCCCCCTCTGAGCCTCAGTTTCTCCAGCACTGAAACAGGCGTGGGCTCAGGACTGAAGGGAAGAATAACCAGGCTTCCTTCTTGCACTGAGGCTGAGCTGGACTCAACTGTGGGTGGCGTGGGTCAGGAATCAATGAGGGACAGACCACAGAGAGAGGTCAATCAAGGAGGGCTTCCTACAGGAAGCAGGGGCTGGAGCAGAAGCCCTGAGGGGGCCCCTCCTCACCCCCATCTTGGGCCCCACAGAAGTTCACTAGCAAGTCGGATGTCTGGAGTTTCGGGGTGCTGCTCTGGGAGGTCTTCTCCTATGGACGGGCTCCGTACCCTAAAATGGTGAGCAGGGTCCCCGAGGAGGCACTGGGTTCTGGGCAGGTCCTGGGACCGTGGCCCTGACCCCTGCCCACGCCTGCCGTCCGCAGTCACTGAAGGAGGTGTCAGAGGCCGTGGAGAAGGGGTACCGCATGGAACCCCCCGAGGGCTGTCCAGGCCCCGTGCAGGTCCTCATGAGCAGCTGCTGGGAGGCGGAGCCCGCCCGACGGCCGCCCTTCCGCAAGCTGGCAGAGAAGCTGGGCCGGGAGCTGCGCAGCGCGGGCGCCCCGGCCTCAGTCTCAGGGCAGGACGCCGACGGCTCCACCTCGCCCCGAAGCCAGGAGCCCTGACCCCACCTGGCAGGGCCTCTGGCCCCAGGGGACCGAGAGAGTGGGGAATGCGGCATGGGAGCACCGGCCAGGCCCGAGGAGGGTCCAGGCCAGCGAGGTGTCCTCCTGGTGCCCACAGCAGGGGCTGGCCCGCGTAGGGGGCTCCGGGCGGCCCGTGGACACCCCAGACCTGCGAAAGTGAAGGATGATTGCCTTGATAAAGATGGATTCAGAGGACTGTGGGCGCCTGTGTCTGTCTGTGTCCCCGTGCTCTCTTTCCTGGGGCCACCCTTGACGATCCGCTCTCTGACACCCCCAGGCACCAGGCATCCTGGGTCCTCCCGTAGAGGTCCACCCCTGGGTGCCCAGCCCCAGTGCTCACCTCCCTACTCTGTGGAACCTGCTGCAGCCCACCCAATGGGGCCAATTCACTGGGACCCCACTGATCCTTGGCCGAGTCTTGAGCACCCACTGGCCCCAAGCCCCTGCCTCCTGCCTCCAGGCGTCTGTCTCCCTTCCCCACCTCTGCCCCGGAGGATCTGCCCAGTTGGAACCTGCCCGCTGGCCACTGTGAGGACATGGTGCCCTGGGGAGTTCTGGGCAGGGACCCATTTGCCATTGCCCATGGGTTCCCCACTGCAGTCCCCCAGGGGATGTGGTATTCAGTGGCGGGGACCCCGTCCCGACCCATGGGGTCCCAGACTTAAAGGATCTTGCAAGGCTGCTCACAGCCCTCAAGGTCCAAGTCTCCCCTCCCACCACATCCATTTCTCAGGCCCCAGCGCCCCACAACCCTATGGTAGCCCCTATGATGGGACCCCCGGGAGAGTCTGCGCGTGTGGCAGCAGCCCCTTAGGGATGATCTGGGGAGGCCACGCTCCTCCTCCTCCTGCCTCCCCCTTCATGGTCAGGCACCACGTCGAATGATATCAGGTCAAATCCCAAAAATGCCACTGGAGGTGAATGCTAAGATTACACCCATTTCACAGATGAGGACGCTGAGGCCCAGAGAGGGCAGGTTGCTCACACTGGGTTGCCCCAGGGAGACGTGGCAGAGCCTGGATCGGGTCCGCAGCCCGTTTCGTTCCCCTTTCTGCCCGTTCCAGCCCCCCACTTCTGCATCTCCCTTACTTCTTTCATGCCGGCCTGAACCAGTCATGAAAATAGACCCTCTCATCTGTCCTCCCACCATCCCATGATCCAGGCATCTACCCACAATCCCAACCTGTCCATCACCTACACATTCATCCATTCACCTATGTAGCCATCTGTTCATCCACCCATATGTCCATCCACCTACCCACACACCCACCCATCCATCCACCCATGCACCTACCTGTCCACTCATCCATCCACCCACCCATCCATCCATCGTCCACCCATCCATTCACCCATCCATCCATACACTCATACACCCATCATCCACCCATCCATCCACCCTCCCAATCATCCATTCACCCATGTACCCACCTGTTCATCCATCCATATGTCCATCCACCTACCCACACATCCACTCATCCATCCACCCACACACCCATCATCCACCCATCCATCTACCCACAGACCCATTCATCCACCCATCCATCCATCCACCCACACACCCATCATCCACCTATCCATTCGTCCATCCATCCAACTACCCACACACCCATTCATCCACCCACAGACCCATTCATCCACCCATCCATCCATCCACCCACACACCCATTCATCCACCCATCCATCCACCCACAGACCCATTCACCCATCTCTCCATCCACCCACACACCCATCCACCCATCCATTCATCCACCCATCCATCCACCCACACACCCATTCATCCACTCAACCATCCATCCACCCACACCCATCATCCACCCATCCATTCATCTGTCCATCCAATCACCCACCCATCCATCCACCCACACACCTACCTGTCCACTCATCCATCTACCCACACACCCATCATCCACTCATCCATCCACACACCCATCCATCCACCCAAACACCCATCATCCACCCATCCATTCATCCATCCAACCACCCACACACCCATCATCCACCCATCCATCCACCCACACACCCATTTATCCACCCATCCATCCATCCACTCAACCATCCATCCACACATCTATCCACCCATCCATCCATTCACCCATCCATCCACCCATCTATCATCCACCCATCCATCCATTCACCCATCCATCCACCCATCCACCTGTGCACTCACCTATTCAGTCATTCACCCATGTGTCCACCCATCCACCTACTCATCCACTCACCAATCAGAGGTGGGGAAGGGAGACATCCACGCACCCACCATCCACTCACCCATGCATCCATCCACCATCCATTCATCCATCCATCCACCCATGTGTTCACCCACACATCTAACTTGTCCACTCACCCATCTATCCATCCATTCACCTATCCACTCATCCATCCATCCACCCATATATCCATCCACCCCATCCACCTAATCATCCATCTGTCCATCCGTCTGTCCATTCACTCACCATCTCCTGATCCACCCATCCATCCATCCACCAACCCATCCACTTATCTACGCATCTCCCCACCCATCCAGGTGTCTGTTCATCCATCTCTCCATCCACTGGTCCATTGATCCACTCACCCATTCATCTGTCCCTCCATTCACTCACCACTGATCCCTCAATCTGTCTCCCTACCCACCATCCATGCACGCATCCATCCACCCCTCCCCTACACTCAACAAACCCAGGCTGAAGGAGGTGGCAGAGGCTGTGGAGAAGGGGTACCGTATGGAGCCCCCTGACGGCTGTCCGGGCCCCACGCACGTTCCCATGAGCAGGTGTGAGGAGGCAGAGTTCACCCGCTGGCCACCCTTCCACAAGCTGGCCGAGAAGCTGGCCCAGGAGCTTGAGAGCGCAGGCGCCCCAGCCTCTGTCTCTGGCTGACTGTGTGCTGGCCCTCTGGGCCCTGAGCCTCACCACAGCTTCTGCAGTGACAGCTCTCAGATGACACTGCCCTTGAACAAAGGCAGGCCAAATGTCCAGGGACCTAGCTGGCTGAGCCAGTGACGCTGGGGGACAGATTCATGGGGACACACTGGCCCTCCTGTCCACTCTGGCACAGTGGGCCGAGGTTTCCAGTTCGCAGGCGTGGGTTCAGTCCTGCCTCGCCCCCTCGCTGTGTGATGCTGGTCCTGGAGTGACCCCCCTGGTTTGCTCAAGGCTGAGGGCTGGTCCAGGCTGTGGGACTTCAGTGCTAAAACCAGAAAAGTCCTGGGCAGACAAGGGCTTTTTCCCTCCCTGGGCCTCGGCAGCCTCCTCCAGCCAACAGGCACCTTTTCCCAGAGGGGCGTGAGGGTCCCGAGCACCCACAGCGATGAAGAGAGGGGCACCTAGAAGGCAGGCATACAGCTGGCACTCCATTATTGCTGGTCTCTCAGCTGAGTTCCCCATGGAGCCAGCCTTTGAGGATACACAGAGAGGGGTCTCTGGCCAGGCTGGGCACAGCCCCCACCCCAGGGCTCCCAGGCCACCCTCCCATCTTGCCCAAGCAGAGCCTGAGCTGAGACAGAAATGTCCCAAGGTCACGGTGACCTCCTGTGTGGCCCCTTAAGCCCTGCGCGCCCTCCAGCCTCACTTCCCCCAGCAGCACCTGAAGCAGGTTAGTGGTTCTTTCCGGGGGAAAATTGAAGGGTGGAGTCTGGAAGGGCCCCTGGCTAATCCAAGGCAGGGAAGCACCTGTCCCCGTGGCCCTGCCCGCCCAGCCCACGCTCCTAATCCGGCCCTCTAAGCTGACACAGCGTCTGCGGCTTCTGCCTGTCCGGCTAAGTCGCCCAAAGCCCTCTGCCTCTCACGCCGAATCCTTCCTGCGGTCTCTTAACCCACCTGGCCAATTAGTTAATTGCGGCCTGAGACCTGAAGCAGCTCCTGATGAAGCCACCGGGGGAATTACGTCTCCCCTCCCCCCGGCCCTGTCCCTGCAATGGCCACAGGCCTGGCTCCACCCTGGACACACAACCTGGTGGGTCCACTGTGCTGATGGGAAACTGAGGCCGGGGGAGGCACCGGGAGCCTCACAAGCTGCAGCTGCCCCGTGGCCCGGGCCTGAACCCATGTCCCTCCCCACTTTGCCCACCTGAACTTGGCTCCCGGAATGGGGCAGCCACAGCCGGTCCTGGGCCAAAGCCACCTGCTCCCTGGGGTCTGACCCAGACTCCTCTGGGGCCTGGGCACCTGATTTCTCGTGTGTGTGTGTGTGTGTGTGTATGTGTATGTGTGTATGTATGTGTGTATGATGTATATGTATGTATATGTGTATGTATGTGTATGTGTATGTGTGTATATGTGTGTGTGCGCGTGTGTGTGCATGTGTGTGTATGTGTGTATATGTATGTGTGTGTGATGTATATGTGTATGTATGTATGTGTATGTGTGTGTATATGTATGTGTGTATGTGTATATATGTGTGTATGTGTGTATTGTGTATGTATGTGTGGATTTATGTGTGTGTGCGTGTGTATGTGTGTGCGTGTATGTGTGTGTGTGTATGTGTATATGTATGTGTGTATGTGTGAGCTGCTCTTCACCGATGTTTGCGTGAGATGCCACTGTATCCCGGCTCCGCAGCCTCCCGTGGCTCCCCAGTACCGCGAACTTCACACCCAACACGTCCACAACCTGCGGCTTTGCGCCCCATCTTCCATTCTCGCCACCTTCCTTAACATAGCAACCTGGCCAGCTGTGGTGGCTCACACCTGGAATCCCAGCACTTCAGGAGGCCAAGGCAGGCAGATCACCTGAGGTTAGGAGTTCAAGACCAGCCTGGGCAACATGGTGAAACCCGTCTCTAGCAAAAATATAAAAATTAGCTGGGTGTGGTGGCATGCACCTGTAATCCCAGCTACTGGGGAGGCCGAGGCAGGAGAATCGCTTGAACCCAGGAGGCGGAGGTTGCAGTGAGCCGAGACTGCACCACTGCACTCCAGCCTGGGCAATAGACGGAGACCCAGTCTCTAAAACACAAAAATAGGCTGGGTGTGGTGGCTCACACCTGTAATCCCAGCACTTTGGGAGGCCAAGGCGGGTGGACCACGAGGTCAGGAGTTTGAGACCAGCCTGGCCAATATGGTGAAATCCTATCTCTACTAAAAATACAGAAATTAGCCAGGCGTGGCGGTGCACACCTGTAATCCTAGCTACTCAGGAGGGTGAGGCAGGAGAATCGCTGGAACCCGGGAGGCGGAGGTTGCGGTGAGCTGAGATCTCGCCACTGCACTCCAGCCTGGGGGACAGAGCGGGACTCCGTCTCAAAAAAAGAAAAATAAAAACTAAATGAAATAGCAACCCATCTTGCCCCACACGCCCCCACCCCGTGGGTTTTCTCTCTAGGCTCGTGGACACTGGACACGCTCTGCATTTTAACACGGCTGTCTGTCTGCCCCGCTACAAACTCAGCTCCGTGATGTCTGTCTGTTTTGATCACTGTGGGCATTACCTGGTACACAGTAAATGCTCAATAAATGTTTATTGGCAAAAATAGTGAACTTTTTTTTTTGAGATGGAGTTTAAAACTCTTTTGCCCAGGCCGTAGTGCAGTGGTGCGATCTCAGCTCACTGCAACCTCCACCTCCCCCAGGTTCAAGCAATTCTCCTGCCTCAGCCTCCCAAGTAGCTGGGATTACAGGTGCCCGCCACCACACCTGGATAATTTTTGTATTTTTAGTAGATAGGGTTTTGCCATGTTGGTGAGGCCGGTCTCAAACTCTTGACCTCAGGTGATCCACCTGCCTCAGCCTCCCAAAATGCTGGGATAACAGGCATGAGGCACGGAGCTGAGCTGTGAATGGTGAACTTCTATCCATATCTCAAGACCCAGCTAAAAGGGCCCCTGCCCCTTGTGTCCAGAGGAGCCAACTGCAGAGCCTTCACCTCCGGGAACTCAGCTTCCCCAAACCCCTCTGACATCTGTGAGTCCTAAGCCCCCTTTTCTGCCCCTGGCTGATAACAATATGAACAGTGGGCATTCATTAAGAGCCCCCTGTATGCCAATCCCTGTGCAATGCTCGGAGAAAGTGAAATACCCCCCAGGGTAAGTCCTATTGTGGCAGTTTTACAGCTAGGGAAACTGAGGCCCAGAGAGGGAGAGGCCCTTGGCATCCTATGGTGAGGGGCAGTGGAGCCTGGCCGACGCTCTCCCCAGCCACCCCCTCAGAGCCCCAGCCCTCCACCCACCTGCCCTCCCTCGTGGCTCAGAACAGCCTGAGTCGGAGCGGGAGGGGCCGCGTCAATTAAGCACCTGGAGCTAATCCTCACCCCTCCCCCAACCCCGACCTGGCAGACGCGGCGCCAGGCCGCCAGGGCAGGTGCCCCGTGGAGATCGACGGAGGGGCTGCCGTGGGCGGTGAGTGTGGGCTGGGCACCGGTGGGCCTGGGTAGGACGTGGTGGGGGGCAGAGATCCCCCCAGGGTGGCGGGCTTAGGACGAGGAAGAGATCCTGCCCTCCTGGGTGGGGCATCCTCGACCCCCCCCACCACACACACACACACACACACACACACACACACACACGCCATGACAGTCACAGAGAGGGGAAGAGAAAACAGGGACGGTGACACAGGCAGAGAGAAGGAAGAGCAGACAGAGGCCCAGTGGGAGACCCCCAAGCCCAGGGGGCCAGCCGGGGATGTGGAGCCCATGCCGACCCCAGCGGAGGGAGTGGATTTCCCTGGAGCTGGGAGGCAAGCCTGGGGCTCCCCTGCCCTGTCCCTGCCCGCAGTGCCCCCAGCCGCCTCCCCGCCATCTGTCCCGCTGCCATCCCTCCAGGTGGGAGCCATGTTCCTGAGCCCGGGCGAGGGGCCGGTGGCCGAGGGTGGGGGTCTGGGGCCGGGCGAGGAGGCCCCCAAGAAGAAGCACCGGAGGAACCGCACGACCTTCACCACCTACCAGCTGCACCAGCTGGAGCGGGCGTTCGAGGCCTCCCACTACCCGGATGTGTACAGCCGCGAGGAGCTGGCGGCCAAGGTGCACCTGCCTGAGGTGCGGGTACAGGTGAGGGCACCCCCCCCCCCAAAATCTCCCACCACCTAGGGAGGAAGGCGAAGCGAGATCCTGACCCTCCCGGTGCATGAGCAGAAGAGAAGCTGGGAAGGCTTCCTGGAGGAGGGGGTGTGGGAGCTGAGGTTCTGACGTTTGAGTAGGAGTGTGCCAGCTGGGAAGGAAATGGCATTTTTCTAGGTTTCCCAAACGGTGTGTGCAGAGATGTGGAGGGGATACGTTGGAGGCGTTTCCCTTGAGCTGAGTGTGAGGTGGGTGAAGGAGGAGGCAGAGAATGGTGCGGGGAACGGCGCTTTTGAAGGCCGTGAATACAAGTTGGGCAGCTCAGGCTCCTTGCTGAGGGCCACGGGAGACCAGGGAGGGGAGTGAGGAGTTCGAGGGGGGCCTGGGCTTAGGGAGCGGTTGAGAGGGGCTGGATCCTGTCCGTCGTCTTGGGCGGAACAGTGAAAGAGCAGGTGGGAGTCGGGTCAGACGGGAGGCAGAACCCCCGGGGCTGGGGTGTGCAGAGAGGCTCCAAGGAGTGGCAGGGAGGGACTGAGCTCACAGCACCCTCCGGCACCCTCCAGGTGTGGTTCCAGAACCGCCGGGCCAAGTGGAGGCGCCAGGAGCGGCTGGAGTCGGGCTCAGGCGCCGTGGCAGCCCCGAGACTCCCCGAGGCCCCGGCGCTGCCGTTTGCCCGCCCCCCGGCCGTGCCGCTGCCCCTGGAGCCCTGGCTGGGCCCCGGACCGCCGGCCGTGCCAGGCCTGCCCCGCCTCCTGGGCCCGGGCCCGGGGCTGCCAGCGTCCTTCTCGCCCCATGCCTTTGGCCCCGCGTTCGCAGACAGCTTCGCCCTGGAGGAGGCGTCCCTGCGGCTGCTGGCGAAGGAGCACGCGCAGGCCGTGGACAGGGCCTGGCCGCCAGCCTGAGCCTGCGCCCCCCCCCGGGCCCCTCCTCGGCCCCACCCGAGAGCCGGGGACGTGCCCTGGTGACAGCCACCACGCCTTGGGCTAGGCCGAGGTCAGACCAGGCCACGACTGGGGAGTGGGACCAGAGACAGCCCGATGGGTCCCCGGCCCCCGGCCCCCATGCCCCACCCATCACCACCCATCCTGCTGGCAGCGGACTGGCCCTGAGTGTCAGGCAGGAGGTGTTCGGAGCATTCCCAGGCCTGGGGCAGGGCCCTCCTCCCCTCCTCGGGCCTCAGTCTCCCCCTCTGTCAAGTGGGCATAGGCGCGTCTGAGATTCCCGGGCTGCGAGGCTGTGGGTGGCTGGGCCGATGACTCTGTGACATGGTTTAAATCTCTGCCTGCCTCTAATCCCTGTCAGCAGAGATGCCCGCTCTCCAGGGCTCTCTGTCCCCAGGAGATGACAAGTAACAGCAGCCCTGGCGAGCCTGGCCTCCGTTCACCATGTGCCCGCTGTGCCAGTGCCCCCACTCCAGTCCACCCTGGACCTTGGGCACGGCCGTCAGCCCATTCTACAGAGAGGGAAAGCGGGGCTCAGGCAGAAAGCCAGGTCCCCGAGATTGCATGGCCAGGAGTGGGTGGAGCTGCCTTTCAGACTGATCCCTGTCCCCAGCATCCGAGGCCCGGCGGCAGGTTCCGGAGGGAGGGTGGGTCCCGGGCCAGGGACCGGTGGGACCCTTGTGCAGAGGCGGCGAGGCTGAGGCAGTGTGGTCATTGTCAGCCCCTGCTCCTCACGTCCCCACCGACTCCAGGCCCGGTGCGTGTCCCCCAGTCCCACGGGAGCACGGCCAGCATCTGCTCTGTCCACCCTGGTCGTAGTGCAGCAGGAGAGGCCGGAGCCACAGGACGGGACAGCCGGGGCCAGGGCCGCCCCCCAGGCCAGGGTAGGAGCTGCGGCAGCCACCCTCCCTGCCCCCAGCCCAGGCTCCCAGATCGCTCCCGGGTCACCGGGACACCTCACCTCCAGGCGGCACTTCACACCAATCCTGAGGCCCAACGCCCAGCCGCCTCCCGGCGTCACCGTGCACCCGTCACTCGGGACACGGCAGTCAGCACAAGAAAGATGTGTTCTTTAAGCTAACCCAGGCCGGGCACAGCGGCTCACGCCGGTAATCCCAGTGCTTCGGGAGGCCGAGGCGGGAGGATCGCTTGAGCCCAGGAGCTGGAGACCAGCCTGGGTGACACAGCAAGACCCTGTCCACGACACGTTCTAAAGTTTGCCTAGGGGGTGGAGCACACCTGTCATCCCAGCTACCCCAGAAGCTGAGGCAGGAGGATGGCTTGAGCCCCGAAGGTGGAGGCTGCAGTGAGCTGTGATCACACCGCTGCGCTCCAGCCCGGGCCGCCCAGCCAGACCCCGACTCAAAACCAATAAATAAAAAAGCACACCTAAAACCTAAGACTTCAGTGATCAGTGATGGGGTCGCAAAGAAACAGGACGTGCAGACGGGGAGCGTGGCGGGGCTGAGTTCTACCGGGGAGTTCTGGAGGAGGGGAGGCTGGCATGGAGGCCAGGGGCGGGCGGGAGGAGGTCTAGGGGAAAGGGAGCCGGGCAGAGGCGCAGCCCGTGCCAAGGCCCTGAGGCAGGCCCACGCCTGGTGCGTTGGAGGAACAGAGCGGAGGCCCGTGTGGCTGCAGCAGAGTGAGATGAAGGAAGGAGGTGACAGGGGAGGCCAGGCAGGGCCGGTGGCTGTTACCACTCTAATTTGTAGCCCGAGAGCCTTGGGGAAGCACAGGAGGGTGGGAGCAGGGCTGGCACTGCCTTCGGGGAGTGCAAGACAAGCCGCTCACACCCCCGCCTGTGCAGGGAGGCCGGCGGGACAGCAGGTGCTCGGTAATCCGCTCCCGAGTCCCCTAAGAGGATGAAGTCAGGGTTTCCCTGGGAGGGCGGAATTAGCCTTGGGCCTGTGGACAGAGGAAGCAGGAGGGTGGGTGAGCCCAGCCCAAAGACCCCGGGGCGCCCACCTAGGAATGGGTGGGGCTGCTGTTGCAAGGGCGGGGCAGAGGGCGTGACCCTTGGGGTTCTTCAGGATGGGGGTCCATGAGGAGATCCACCCCCACCAAGAGGCCCCATCACTCCCTAAGGAGGTGTCCCTCCCACCCTGTCCCGCCTCCTCCAATTGGTGGGCTCCAGCCCTCAGGAGCCGGCCCCACTGGTCCCTCATCACAGCCGGGCAGGGCAGAAGCTGGACTGCAGGGAGTCCTGGCCTCACTCCGGCTGTGGCTCAGGGTCAGGGTGAGGGTGCCGAAAGCAGACTGGGGTGGACTGGGGGCAGAGGCTGAGACCTGGGCTCCAGTGGAGTGGACAAGAGGGCTTTGCGGAGGTGGGGGAGGAAGGCCCAGGCTCCTGGCCTCCAGGGATAGTCACGCTGTGACTGTGGCAGGAAGGAAGGGGTGGTCCCTTCCCTCTGATTCTACTTGCTGTGCTGGTGCGGGACATTAGCCAGGAGCCCTGTGGCTACCCTGCCCAGAAGTGCCACCCCCTGGGGGATCCAAGGACCCTGAGATAAAGAGAGCCACATGTCTGAATATGGAAGCACCTGGATCCAGCCACACCTGAAACCATACACCTACCCCGGGACATCTCCTTTTTTTTTTTTTTGGGGGGGAGACTGAGGCTTGCTTTGTCGCCCGGGCTGGAGTGTGGCAGCGCCATCTCGGCTCACTGCAACCTCCGCCTCCCCAGTTCAAGCGATTCTCCTGCCTCAGCCTATGGAGTAGCTGGGACCACAGGCAAGCAACACCACACACAGCTAATACTGGTATTTTTTTTTAGTAGAGACGGGGTTTCACCATGTTGGCCAGGCTGGTCTCAATCTCTTGACCTCATGATCCGCCCACCTCGGCCTCCCAAAGTGCTGGGATGACAGGCGTTGAGTCACCGCGGCTGGCCGACATCCCCGTTCTTGAAGCTCACAAAGCCTCTTTTCTGACTGATGGCTTTCATGAGGTTTGAGTCCCTTGCAACCCAGAGGCTTGGCTAGGAGCCCCCCATCACCCCTCAACTTGAGATTCGGAGCTGGGGCCTCATTCGTGGTGTCAGGAATTCCAGGAGTTGGGGAGAGAAGCCCCCCAAGGGCTGGAGGTCCAGGGGAGCTGCAGACGGCCGGCCACTGGCTGGGGTGGAGGCCGGGAGCCCTGGGGGCTGAGGGGCCCACCTCCCGCGGGGCTGACATTAGACAACAGCCAAGGGGTACCAGGGTGTACCCAGAGAGGTCTTTATTGCCCTCCACGGCCCTGGTCCAGCCCCACTGTGGGGGTCACAGGGAAACCAGGCTGGGGGACGCCTTTTGTCTCTCAAAAGTCCACGTTCTCTGGGAAAATGGCGAGTCCTCGGGGCTGAGGTCAGGGTAGGGGTCAGGGATCCGGGGTTGGGGGTCTGGGGTCGGGACCAGGGTGGGGGTCGGGGATCCGGGGTCGGGGGTTTCACCATGTTGGTCAGGCTGGTCTCGAACGCCTGACCTCAGGGTCGGGGCCGAGTTCCGGAGTCCGGGCAGCCGCGCTAGAATTTCCTGTTCTTGCTCAGCCGGTTGTGGCGCCAGATGTTGTGTTTGCGCAGCAGCCGCCAGTACTCCCGGCTCTCGGGGTCCAGCTCCTCCAGTTTCTTCGGGGGGCCCACGTTCATCTCGAACAGCCTGACGGGGGCGCGGGCAGGAGTCAGAGCTACACGGCAACCCCCGGGCTCCCTGGCGTCCTGGGCACCTCAGGCAGAGGCGGCCACAGGGCTGGGTCCCAGTCCCACCGCTTGGCTGCACGACGTCAGGCTGGTCCCTCCCCGACCCTGGGCTGGGTGGGTCCCAGGCCTTGCTGCCGCGGAGCCAACCCCATCCCAACGGCATCAGCGCCGAGCCCCGTCCCACCTCCAGCGCTGCCCACGCTGTGCCAGCTGTCCCCACTTGCTCAGCCTTCCTGACCTTCCCCAGCCCTCAGATCAGCTTGCAGACAGAGCAGAGCCCTCCCCGCAGCCCACAGGCCCTGCCCTCGCCCCCGCTCCTCACTGTGCTCCAGCCGCACAGGCCTCCCCGCTGTTCCTCCAGCACCCACGTGCGGTCCTGCCCCAGGGCCTTTGCACGGGCTGGGCCCTCTGCCTGGTGAGTCCCTTCTACCCACTCAGACGTCTTGGCTTCTGTGTCTCCTCCCCCAGACCTCAGACAAGAGCAGCCAAACGCCCCCGCTCTGTCTGTCGCTCACCCTCCTGCCCCCTTCCGGGGAGTGTCACCACCGAAGCCGCCTGACTCCCTGCTTCCCGTCCACCTCCCCAGCAGGCTCCGCCGGGTGCAGACTTGGGCCTATTCCGGGTCCTTCCATGTCCCTGAAGCCTACAGCAGGGCCTGATACGGAGTCCGTGCTCAGTAAGTATTTGCAGGCCAGGCGCGGTGGCTCACGCCTGTAATCCCAGCACTTTGGGAGGCCAAGGCGGGTGGATCACCTGAGGTCAGGAGTTCGAGACCAGCCCGACCAACATGGTGAAACCCCGTCTCCACTAAACACACAAAATCAGCCAGGCGTGGTGGCGCATGGTGGTGACAGAGACTCCATCTCAAAAAAAAAAAAAAATTTTTTTAAGTATTTGCTAAAGAAAAAAGAGCATTTATTTATTTAGAGATGGAGTTTTATTCTTGTCGCCCAGGCTGGAGTGCAATGGCGCGATCTCAGCTCACCACAACCTCCGCCTCCCGGGTTCAAGCGATTCTCCTGCCTCAGCCTCCCAAGTAGCTGGGATTACAGGCGCGTGTCACCACGTCCAACTAATTCTGTATTTTTAGTAAAGACGGGGTTTCACCATGTTGGTGAGGCTGGTCTCGAACGCCTGACCTCAGGTGATCTGCCTGCCTCAGCCTCCCACACCCAGCCAAAATGAGCATTTCAGGTACTTGACAAGTGTTCTAATCTCACAGATCCCTCACAGCCCTCAGATGGAGGGATGGGTCCCATCACCCCGTTAAAGATGGGAGCACCCAGGCGCAGAGCCCTCAAGCCAGGATGGGCAGGTGTCACTAGTAGGCTCCTGGCTGGAGCGGGGATCCGCCTCTCCCAGAAGGGGGTCCTCCTGGGGCAGAGGAAGGGTCGGTGCGGGATGACACGGCCTGGCCCGCTCACCATTCGGGATACTCAGCGTTCGGTTTCAGGGGTACATCCTGCCCTTCCTTGTAGATGTTGACGCCCATGGCATACGTGGTGAGCTGGACAGGATCTGTGCACACCTCGGGGTCCTTGAGGGCATCGCTGGCCACCGCACCCTTTGCCAATTTGCCCATCTTCACAGCTGTGCGGAGGAAAGAGTCATTTCAACCCAGCTCCACTCTTGGAAAGCCAACCTCTCTCCCAGAGCTCCCTGTCCCTGCCTCAGGTGGCCTCAGCCACTGGCTGGACTCTGCTACACTCGAAACGTTTTTTTTGAGACACAGTTTCAGTCTTGTCGCCCAGGCTGGAGTGCAAGGGTGCGATCTTGGCTCACCACAACCTCCACCTCCCAGGTTCAAGCGATTCTCCTGCCTCAGCCTCCCGAGTAGTTGGGAGTACAGGCGTGCACCACCACACGGACCTCAGGTGATCAGCCTGCCTCAGCTTCCCAAAGTGCTGGGATTATAGGCGTGAGCAACCCCATGCTGGCTCAAAACTGTTTTTTTTTAAAGACAAGATGATCTCAGCCAGGCACAGTGGCTCACTCCTGTAATCCCAGCACTCTGGTAGGCCAAGGTGGGCGGATCACCTGAGGTCAGGAGTTCGAGACCAGCCTGGTCAACATGGTGAAATCTCATCTCTATTAAAAATACAAACAAAAACAAAAACAAAAACAAAACTTAGCTGGTCATGGTGATGCATGCCTGTGATTCCAGCTACTGGGGAGGCTGAGGCAGGAAAACTGTTTGAACCCAGGAGGCGGAGGTTGCAGTGGGCATCACTGCACTCCAGCCTGGGTGACAGAGCAAGATTCTGTCTCAAAAAAAAATATTTTTTAAACTTTAAAAATTTAAAAATAGCTAGGAGCACGGCCGAGCGCGGTGGCTCAAGCCTGTAATCCCAGCACTTTGGGAGGCCGAGGCGGGTAGATCACAAGATCAACAGATCGAGACCATCCTGGTCAACATGGTGAAACCCCGTCTCTACTAAAAATACAAAAAATTAGCTGGGCATGGTGTCGTGTGCCTGTAATCCCAGCCACTCAGGAGGCTGAGGCAGGAGAATTGCCTGAACCCAGGAGGCGGAGGTTGCAGTGAGCCGAGATTGCACCATTACACTCCAGCCTGGGTAACAAGAGCGAAACTCCGTCTCCAAAAAAAAAATAGCTAGGTGCGGTGGCTCACACCTGTAATTCCAGCACACTGGGAGCCCGAGGCGAGCAGATTACGAGGTCAAAAGAACGAGACCATCCCGGCCAACATGGGGAAACCCTGTCTCTACTAAAATACAGAAGTTAGCGGGGCATGGTGGCATGCGTCTGTAGTCCCAGCTACTCGGGAGGCTGTGGCAGGGGAATTGCTTGAACCCAGGAGGCAGAGGTTGCAGTGAGCCGAGACAGCGCCACTGTACTCCAGCCTGGCGCCTGGTGACAAAGCAAAACTGTCTCAAAAAAATAAAAAATTAAAAAATTAAAAAAATAAAAAGCAAAGATAGGGTCTCGCTCTGTCAACGAGGCTGGAGTGCAGGAGCGCGATCATGGCACACTGCGGCCTCAAACTCCCAGGCTCAAGCAATCCTCCTGTCTCGGCCTCCCAAGTAGCTGGGACCACAGGTGTGCGCCACCACGTCCGATTTATTTTTCATACAAACAGGGTCCTGCTATGTTGCCCAGGCTGGTCTCAAACTCCTGGGTTCAAGTGATCGATCCTCCCTCCTCGGCCTCCCAAAGTGCTGTAAATAAAGGTGTGAATCCCCCGACCTGGCCTCAAAATCACTTTAAGTAGAATTTGGACACATGATGAAACAACACTGATGCCCAAAGTGACCAAGTCATTCCCTTTAAGTTATATTTTGGTTGCTTCCGTTTATCTCACTGAGAAAGTCTCCACTGGCTGTTATGTGACTGTTTAAAATTTGCCAATTTTCCCCGATCAACAGAGGAAATCAGGCAAGGCTGCATCCAGCTGAAACTTAATAACCTTGTTTTGTTCCTTTTGAAGTGGCTAAGACTTAAATGGGCTCCACGGTTTTCTTGAATTTCCGATAACGGCTTGACCAAGGTCACCCAGCGATTTGGAAAAAGGCAGAGAAACAGGACTGGAACCCAAACTCATGACCTCCCCAACATCCCTGCAAAGCCCTTCCAACCCGCGCCTGCGCAGTGAAACGCGTGGGCTCTACGTAACCGACAGCCTCCCCCCCCAGGCCGATCCGCCCCACGCTGGCGCCTGCGCATTGAGTCCATTGGCTAAGGTACCTGAGACAGACGCCGGCGCTCAGCGCTGGGGTCCCTCAAACTGCGCCTGCGCTTGTATCCCGGCAGCCGTCTCTCTGCGCGTGCGCATTAACTCTAGCACCACCTTCCCAACCAGCGCCTGCGCACTGCCAATTCCTCAGTGTACTCACCGACCCTAGCTCTTAACCCCGCTCACCCGGTTTCTTGGCATAATCCCGGATCAGGAGTCTTCCAGGAGCGGCAGGCTCTAGGAACTCCCGGACCCCCCAGCCGGCCCACGTCCGGGTAGCCCCGAAAAGCTGTCTGGCCGCCATGACGTATTGTAGGCAGCTTGCACGTGCACGTTTCCGGGGGATGTCAGTGGCCCAAGGGGTGCTTGGGAGTTGTAGGCCCCGTGGAGGTGTCTGGGAAATGTAGTCTCCCGAGCTTTCATACTCTACGGGGGTTTCTCTAGAATTTTGGAGACATAACCAGTTGCTGTAGAAGACGTTCAAGGTATATTTCGTTGACTTCTTGTCCTTCAATTACGTAACATTTACTAAAAATATCACACTTTATATGTTCCTGATTCCAGCCAATGAGTAAGGCCCTTTACTCCAGCAGTAGGGCTGGAGTCTAATCATTGTTAATTTTTATAGCGTATTTTTAACATTATTACATATTGCATATGTATATTCTTTTCCAGCCCTACTGCTAAATCCTTGACCCGCTTGATCTAATTTAATCCTCACAATTAGGAGGTAGATACTATTTTATCCCCAGCTAATAATAGTGAGGAAACCGAGGCTCTGGGAGGTAAAGGTCTCAGGCCGAACCCAAGTCCAGGGTGCATCAGTCTGTCGCCTAACTGTAAGCCAAACCGGAAGTCCGTCTTCAACAGAGTCCCCACGACGCTTCCGGTGCCTCAAGGTCCCAAGGAAACCACCAATCACACTTCTTTAATATTTCCCAACCCCACTTCTCTCCATCTGCCCTCCTTTGGAGTAATGAACACAGCCCCAGTAGCCAGGCAGTGACTATTAACGTTATTTTGCAGAAGAAACGGTTCTTGGGGTCAGGCCGGGCTGTCCGCGGGCAGGGAAGCCTGGGATTCGAACTCTGGGCTCCGACACCTGCCGTAGTCCCAGCGCCCCCGTGTGGCGAGGCTGATTGAGAGAACTACATTTGCCAGCAGGCCACGCGAGGCGGCGCATGCTCAGTGGGCCAGGGCGCTACGCGGATAGAGGAGCCGGCGCCGGGACCGGAATCCTAGAGCTGCGGCTTCTGGGGGCGCGGCCCGGGCTATGCCGGGGCAGTCCTGGGGGCGCGGGGTCCTGGAGGCGGCACGGGGTGAGGCGGCCCCGGTTTGGGAAGTGAGTGTCCTCGAGGTGCAGAGCGGTGTCGGAGGGCGGACTGGAATATGGGATTGGGGCTGGGTCTTGAAGTCGGGGTCTGAGTCTGGAGTAGCGTTGAAGGTTTGGAGACTGGGGTCTGCTTTATGGCGTCCTGGGTGTCTGGTATTAAATCCAGGGTCCTGGGTCTAAAGTTTTGGATGGGGGTATTGGGGGTTGAGGTCATGGGACTGGGGTCTTGGGTCTGGGGTCTCGGGGACCTGCCTCTGACGAGTCTGTAGAGTCAGGGTGTGAGGTCTGGGTCTCCAGCCTGGGTTCCGCGTCTGGAGGGAGGAGAACTTGCAAGAATCCGGGCTGGAGTGAACAGACTCCATTAGTTGGGAGAGGTCTGGGGTGAGAGCGACAGGGGCTCGGGAAGCCACTGCCTCACACCTCCCCATTCTGTGCCTCAGTTCGTTGTCTGTAAAATGGGAATCCGAACTTCCTTGCAGGGGTTGGTGAGGATTAGATTATGTGTCCTGTATGAACAGTACCCAGCTAGGGCCTAGCAACGGATAGGCACCCAGGAAACCTCAAGTTTTTTGTTTTGGGTTTTTTTTTTGTTTGTTTTTTTGTTTTTTTTTTTTTTTGACACGGAGTCTTCTTCTGTTGCCCAGGCTGGAGTACAGTGGTTCAATCTCGGCTCACTACAACCTCTGCCTCCTGGGTTTAAGTGATTCTCCTGCCTCAGCCTCCAAGTAGCTGGGACTACAGGTGTGCCCTAAAATGCTTGGCTAATTTTTGTATTTTTAGTAGAAACAAGGTTTCACCATGTTGGCCAGGCTGGTTTCAAACTCCTGACCTCGTGATCCACCCACCTGAGCCTCCCAAAGTGCCGGGATGACAGGCATAAGCTACCGCGCCCAGCCTTTGGGTTTTTTATTTTAATTTAATTTTATTTTTGAGACAGGGTTTCAGTCTGTTGCCCAGGCTGGAGTGCAGTCGTGCAATCAAGGCTTACTGCAACCTCCCCTACTCTAGCTCAGGTGATCCTCCCACCTCAGCCTCCCAAGTAGCTGGGACTTCAGGCATGCACCACCACCGCTAGCTAATTTTTGTAATTTTTGTAGAGATAGGGTCTTGCTATGTTGCCCAGGCTGATCTTGAACTCGTGAGTTCAATCTGCCCTCCTTGGCCTCCCAAAATGCTGGGATTACAGGCAGGAGCCGCTGTACCTGGGCACAACTTCAGCGCTGACCCTCTCTCTTTCAGCTGCCTGAAGATGCCAGCCTAAGCCTGGAGACCAGGCATGGACTTCCCCACGATCTCCCGATCCCCTTCGGGGCCTCCAGCCATGGACTTGGAGGAGGCCAGGGACATCCTTGTGCCCTCTGAGGACCTCAGCCCTGAGAGCCAATGGGATCCGGTGCCAGGAGGCCCTGGCAGCCTGAATCAAATGGAACTTGATGAGTCAAGCATTCAGGAGCTGGTGCAGCAGTTTGAATCTCTGCCGGGCGATCTGGTGGGCCCATCCCCAGACGGAGCCCCCTGCCCCCTGCACATTGCCACAGGCCACGGCCTGGCCCCCCGGGAGATCGCAGATGCCCATGGGCTCCTGTCTGCAGAGGCGGGCCGGGATGACCTGCTGGGGCTCTTGCGCTTTGAGGAATGCCCGCCTTCCCTACCTGGTCCTGAAGAGCCTGTACAGCCTGCCCCCCGACTGTTGCAGCCCCCTGAGGACCCAGAGGAGGATCCTGATCCCCCAGAATGGGTAGAGGGGGCGTCTGCTGAGCAGGGGGGCAGCAGAAGCTCAAGCAGTTCCCCGGAATCCTGGCTGGAGACCGTGCCTCTAGTTGCACCTGAAGAGCCACCTGCTGGTGCCCAGGTAGTGCCCGCCCCACCCTCCAAGTGTCCTGGACTGCCTGGAGCCAAGCAGGGCAACTCAGTCCTGCCCCTCCTCTGTCTTCTTCCAGAGCCCCGAGACCCTGGCTTCCTACCCTGCCCCCCAGGAGGGTGAGTGTCCTGCCCAGCCTGGCCTCAGGCGCCTAGGGTTCCCAGACAGCCAGAATCAATCAAAAGTTTGGCAGTCAGGATGAGGTTCTCAAAAGGGGGCTTTGGAGCAGGTGCCGGCTAGCCAGGGGGAGGAGAGCCAGCCTTGACAACGGGGTAGAGTGAGGAAGGGACCGTGGGCAGCTTTGGCAGCTGGTCACACTCAGTTCCAGAGCCGGGCTCGGCAAACTATAATCGAGGGCCAGATCCAGCTCGGTGCTGGGTCTCTTAGATTTCCAGCTAAAGATGGGTTTTGCTTTTTTTTTTTTTTTTTTTTTTTGATGATTTCTGTTATCCAGGCTGGAATGCAGTGGCTGGATCTCAGCTCACTGCAGCCTCCATCTCCAGGTTCAAGCCATCCTCCCACCTCAGTTTCCTGAATAGCCGAGACTACAGGTGCGTGCCACCACGCCCAGCTAATTTTATTTTGTCTATTTGGGTAGAGACAGAGCTTCACCATGTTGCCCAAGCTGATTTCGAACTCCTGAGCTCAAGCAGTCTGCCTGCCTGGGCCTCCCAAAATGCTGGGATTGCAGGCGTCAACCACCACCACGCTGGATGGCCTTGACTTTTTTTTTTTTTTTTTTTTTTGGGGATGGAGACTCACTTTGTCGCCCAGGCTGGAGTGCAGAGGTGTGATCTCGGCTCACCGCAACCTCCACCTGCTGGGTTCAAGCGACTCCCCTGCCTCAGCCTCCCGAGTACCGAGTAGCCGGGACTATAGATGTGTGCCACCACGTCCAGCTAATTTTTTTTTTTGTATTTTTAGTAGAGACAGGGTTTCACCATGTTAGCCGGGATGGTCTTGATCTCTTGACCTTGTGATCCGCCCTCCTCGGCCTCCTAAAGTGCTGGGATTACAGGTACCCTGCCTGGACTTTTTAATGGATTTCTTTTTTTAATTGAAAGAAGAATACTACTTCTTGACATGTGAAAGTGATATCCTAGGATGGATATGGTGGCTCATACCTGTAATCTCAGCCCTTTGGGAGGCTGAGGTGGAAGGATCGCTTGAGCCCAGGAGTTGGAGACCAGCCTGGGCAATATAGCAAGACCCCGTCTCTACTGAAAATCTTTAAAGTTAGCCAGGCATGGCAGTGCATGCCTCTAGACCCAGCTTCTCAGGAGGCTAAGGCGGGAGAATCTCTTGAGCCCAGGAGGTCGAGACTGCGGTGAGCTGAGGTCACGCCACTGCACTCCAGCCTGGGTGACAGATTGAGGCTCTGTCTCAAAAAAAAAAAAAAGAAAAAAAATGCAGTTGAAATTTCAGTATGCATAAATAAAGTTTTATTGGTACAGATCATATTTGGCCATTCACGTGTGGTCCATGGCTGCCCTGCTGTTAGAACGGCAGAACTGAGCAGCTGTAGCAGAGACCTTGTCACCTCCAAGGCCGAACATATTTACTCTTTGTCCTTTTATAGAAAATGTTTGCCAATCCCTACCCTAAAATCATGGGAAGAAGAATTTCTGGCCCTCTGGAATGTTCTAGACTTCCCTAAAGATATAGGTCAGATAGTAAGTTCTGGCTGGGCAGGGTGGCTCATCTCTGTGATCTCTATTCTTTGGAAAGTGAGAGTTGGAGAGCTGGTCTCAGGAGTTGGAGACCAGCCTGGGCAACACAGCAAAACCCTGTCTCTACAAAAATAAAACCCCCCCAAAAATTAGCCAGGCTTGTGGCATGGGTCTGTAATTCCAGCTACTTGGGAGGCTGAGGCGGGAGGATCACTTGAGGCCACCATGAGCCAAGATAGTGCCACCACACTCCAGCCTGGGCGACACAGTGAGACCGCGTCCCAAAAAAAAAAAAGTCTGTGGTTGTGGAGGGGAGAACTGATGTGAACCTGTGGCTCTTAAGAAGGTTCTAGAATCATGAGCAGAGCCGTGATACCTAGGGAGTTCCAGGGCCTGGCGTTTTGTGTGTGTTTCTAGGTTAAAGGAACCCAGGCTGATGCGAATGCTCAGAATTGGTGAACAGAGCCATCTGGTTCTACTGAGAC